TTTATGTCGTGTTCTTAACTAAAATAATATTTATTGAAAACAAAAACTTTTATATTATATAACCCGATGTATTATTGATACATATAAAGATATTACATATCTTGTAAAGTCTTACAAATTCAATATGCGGCTATGTGCCTCGGGGCAACGCCCGAGTAAACAACTAATTATAGCCTTAACTTAATTTGTTTATTTAACACAATTCGTCATATGATCTGAGCTTTTGTGAAATATAATTCTGTTCAAAAAATAAAAAAGTAGCACACAACTCTTTTCACAATGAAATGATATTAGAAAATGATATTTTAGGGATAATAATACAATAGTTTATTGATAATCTGAAAAACAATTCAACCTTTGTGCTACAAGTAACAAATGTCTATTTACAAGTAAAATTATGAGTCCCAGATATAAAAAAACTTACCTTTATCATTTCCATAACCCGTCATTATTATACTTAATCAAAACAACCGATAAGCCAGTGAGTCATATTTATTGATGACTTAGTTTTGAAAGTACGACATGCTCATTCAACAAAAAACGTGACTTGATCTTTAAACTGTAATATAATAGGTCTTCTCATTGAGCCACCTAGTAAAGTATCTATTCGGTTAATTTTGTAAATAAATTATTGAATAGATGCATGACATTTTAATAAATAACATTGCTCATTAAGAATACAATGCAATAATAATATTAAATTGATTGTTTTAATCAATTTAGTATGATTATCAGCACAAAAACAAACGATCTCATATAAAAATATTACTCAATCTAGACGCATAACCCCTTCGAGTAACAACATTAATTATGAAATAAAAGAAAATATATTACTACCTCCGTCCCAAAAACTTTTCCATTTTACAAAATTTGAACCATGATTATGATTAATATAATATTATGGAAGTTATAAATTTTATATTTTTATGAAAGTACTTTTAACAAAGAACATTTCATATAGTTCTTATATTATAAATAATTTTCAATAAAAAAGATATAGTTGGTAAACATTTTGAAATTGACAAAGTTTCTTAGAGTGCAAACCCAAATTTGAAAGAAAAGCAGGTGCAAAATTAAATTTTCCCTTTTTAAAATTTTGAGAATATGATACGAGCAGCTAATTTTAAAAAACATATTCCATCGCGTGTTCAATTATATTTTCACTTTCTTTGAGCGTAAAAGAGCGGGTTTTTATATTAATATCGAAGCAGCAAACTAGACAACACCCAGACAGTTATCACAGACTCAACCGTAAGCCCTGAGAACAAGCTTAGAGTCAGTCACCTCATACAAAGCAACCTGACTCGCTAGACACAAAATGAACAAATTTAAACCTGAAACTACCGGAACTGAAACACTGCCTAGCAAAAGTACTCTAAAATCCAAATATTCAAAGCAAAACTACTCGAACTAAAATAAACACAAGTACTACCAAAGCAAACATAACACTGAAATAAAGTATTTCCACATAACTCTTCTTGACATGAAGGTGGTTGCAGAGGAGGACGAGCTGTTGTAATATGGGTGAAAACTAAACTGTTCTTCTTACTTCATTTCAGATAGACATAGAAGTAGGGGTGGGCATAACGGTTTGGTTTAACCGAACCGAACCGTACCAAACCGAACTAAATCGAACCGAAACCGAACCATATGGAATTTGGTTTGAGTTTGGTACTATTTTTTTCCAACCGTATTAAACCAAACCGAAACCGATAAAAACCGAACAAAACCGAACCGAACTAAAGAAACTCAAAAAAACTTTCATATATTATTAAAATTGGTGGTTTGATTTGGTTTGGTTTGGGTTTATTTAAGTAAACCGTTTGGTAAACATTTGCTCAAACCGAATGGTTTGGTACTTTGGTTTGGTTTGGTTTAAAACGGAAAAACCATAAACCGAACCGAACATCAAACAACACGCACACACACACACACATATACTTTGTATTTATATTCACTTTTCATTTTTAAGATATAAATAAATAATTTAGACACGAAAATACATATTTAAGCATACACTTGTATCATTTTAATTTTACACATTTCATACATTCATTATGACAAAGTTAGCTAATACGACATATTTGTACGGAGTATTTATTATGTTTGGCGATAACAATAGAAAATTGCATTTATATTTTTACATGATTCATATGAATAAAATTGTGAATATTACAACATTTGTACCACCAACTCTTTTAGGTTTTTTTGAATATTTTATGTGATATTATAAATGCTAATCAACTACTCCGTATCTTATTTTTTGTAAGAAGTGATTTTTTTGTAGTGATAAAAAAGACGTTAGAAGTTTTAATTTATAATATTTTACTATTTATTTTTTATCTTTTATTTCCTTTTACATTTTATTTAAATAATCAATAAATTAAAAAAAGATGAGATGGACTACTACTTTCATTTTCTAATTCTAAAATATAGAACTTGATCAAATACATTAATAACACATAAGCAAACGAATCAAACAAAACTAAATTAAACATAATATTTTTTACTTTGGTAAACCGAACTTCAAACCAAACCGAACCGAAACCGAACCGAAACCAAACCGAAACACAAATGGTTTTAGTTTGGTACAAATTCTCCATTTCTCCCAACCCGAACAAACCGAAATTGAACCGAAACCGAAGAAAACCGAACCGTAAACCGAATTGCCCACCCCTACATAGAAGCAGGTGGAGTCAAAAACAACCTTTATGTCTCTACCATTTTCTACGTTGTCCAAAAGAAGGCAGGCATAACCCACTAATCAATCGAAACCGGCAGGGACACCAAAGCACTCCCCTCATCGAGGGAGACAAAACACCATGGAGCTCCAATGTCCGGAAAAGAACCGCTATATATCAGAACAAACACGACGACAAAAGAAGAACAATCGCAATTGGTCATACATCTACCAAAATTGCCAGAGAGCGGATGCCACCATGCTCCGGTAGAGGAGCACTTGGACGGAAACAATCTTTAGCAAAATCATTCAGCGATCCACTCAGAGACAGTGTCGGCGAGACAGTGACACTAATCAACAATCCTTTTTTCAACTTTAATCACGAAATGACAAATACTCTCTCCGTCCCACTAAGATTGTCCTATTTTACCATTTCAGTTTGTCCCACTAAGATTGTCTCATACCAAATTTGACAAAGTTTATGTGGCTCTAAATCATTCTCACTTTATTTTTACTTTATCAATTCAATATCAACCACATAAACCACTTTTTATTAGTTTGCGTGCCACTCCTTCTTGTCCCATTGTTAGTGGGACGGACCACATAAACCATTTTTTATTAGTTTACGTGTCACTCCCTCTTGTCCCATTGTTAGTGGGACAGAGGGAGTATATCTTTATTTTATTTTATTTACCCTTATACCCCACTTGTAGTCCCATATACGTATACATATACTTTTATGAGGTTATAATATAAAAGTATAACACCGAATAGTATTGAATATGCAGTAGACATTTTATCACTACTTTATTATGAACCTTTTTTACCTTCTCGCATATTATAATATATGTTCCGCTGAATATGAACATCTTTAATTGGTGATGAGTTTTGAACATGCAATCTTCTACTTGCAAATGTCACAATAATGCTATCAAACCACTAATTGCTTGTCATTTTATTATGGGGTATGATTTAAACAAGGGAAAAGGGTAAAAAATGACACTGACATTTTTAATTGAATTTTGAATTGGGTACTACAGTTTTAAGTGGGCTAAATAAACACAAAATCAAACTGTTTGAATTGATTCATTTCCAGCCATCCTTACTCAACTTCTCCGTTAATTGGTTTATGAGATATTACCCGAAATAGGACTAAAAAAGTTCGAAAATTCCAAAATAGGACTGTCATATTTTTATTCCCAAAATAGGACTAATTACTGCCATGTTTTGGCAGTACCAGACTTCAAACATGACAGTATTTTCCAAACTTGACAGTAATTGCTCCTATTTTGGGAATAAAAAACATGGCAGTCCTATTTTGGAATTTTCAAAATGTTTTAGTCCTATTTCGGGAACTTTCCCTTGGTTTATTTCACCGTTATCATCAGTCTCCCCCTATGATTATGAACTCCTCAAAGACGCAATCCCAAAGTATCAACGACCCTAATCGATTGAGGTACACAAATAAAAAAGTGGCATACATTTTCATAGCCCCAACTTCCAGTCTTCCTCCGTCGATAGTCTTGCACTTGGTTTCCCGTTCTCAAAGAAATTCCAGAAGAATGATTGAAAGCTTGGCGCTTGATGATGAATCGCCGTCGAATATTGCTCTCAATTCTCTTTCTAAGCTGACTGAAGTTTGTCTCTCGTGCGTTTAATTGACAATTCCTCAAAGAGCCCTTTTGGAGCTAAGTGTACAATCTATCCTCTGCCTCTAAGAATTATTAGAGCTAAATATATATCCACCCGCAGGGATGATACTGCATATGGAAGCTTCCGTAAGCTACGTTAGGAAGTTGGGTTTATATTCCTCTATGACTCTACTTAGTTTTGACGGGCTGGTTAGAGCAGATTGCTTCAAGGAAGGATTCAAAATACGAAATTTAGATTTATTTCCAAAAGCACCCAGTGAATTAAAGTTTCTTGTTGTTTCTTTTTCACTTAAATGAAAATGAAACGATACAGATACTACATTGTTAATGACAGGAAGAGTTTTTTTTATTCCAGCTTTAATTGAATGAGTGTTCTAAGACTTCTAACGATGGGGAACAACTGTTTAACATAAGCATTAAAGGGTGGTCAAAATAAAATCAAAAACTATAATTTTGTGTTTATTTGATTCACTTAAAACCTTAATGTCTAATCCGATCTTCATTAAAAACCTTGGTTTTACTTTTGGTCTTTATCCCTTTAAACAATGCAACTGTAACTGTTCCAATTGCATTTCATTGGTACCAGATAAATTTTGCCTTAAAAATAGGTAAGCAAAGGAGTAAAGGACGTTTCATTTGTAGTACTTACCAAATACACTCAGACACCATTATGACGCCTAAACTAATTATTACTCCGTATTAAAAAGCTGAAAGGATGTTGCTAGGTGAACTCGATCTCAAGTCAAGTCACATGGACAACGGCCAGTGAGCGAAGCATACCCAGACCGAGTGCTGAGTGGTTGGGGGGCATACCGGAGGTCTCAAGCTGGCTTTCAGTCCGAAGCGAGCCACGGCGGAGCTCCGCCACTCCAGCTCCTTGGGTAACCGAGCGTCGCAGTCTCCGATGAAGCGCGACGACGTCGGGTTGTCTCCCTTGTCGCCGGGAAATGTGTCAGTTGACGAGGACGACGAAGACGACTATCGCGACCGTCACCCGCGAGATCGCACCCCTTCCCTGCTATCTGCCAACCTGCAGGCGGTATTCCCCTTCTTGTTCGCCGAAAGGTCTCACCAATACAACTCCAAGATCTTCTTTCTTCTCTTCCTGGCAATCATCGCGGCCGTAATGATCTCGGCATTTTCTATCTTTAAGAGATTGGTAAGCCGTCATCTATATACATATCTAACTCAATTGATATGCCATTAGTTACTAAATCCTCTCAAGTCCGTGGGATTGGTACTTCGAAGGACTACCCAGTGCCAGTGCCCAACTATATGATAACATTTTTGTATTTTTCGTTTGCTTCTTTTTTAATGCACCTCAGTGCAATTATTATTGTGTTTGTATGTGATGTGATGGGAACAATACGGAGTATTGTTTTATTGACATTTGAAAATGAGGTCAAACGATTCATCAATTACAGAGTTTTAATGTTAGACTCTTTATAGCAATGTTTTGGTTTCTGTTTCTTCTAGTTATAGTTACTGTTGTTTGCCCAGTTGATTTTAGTTATTGAGGATTAAAAGATGGTACTTTGGTTTGCTTTCTAAATCCTACAAGGCTCAAGGAAATTCTGTAGTTTGATCTGTCAATGGATGGGCTCGAATCAGAGTGGTCTGTTGAATCACTGGAACTGTATGAGTGTGGCTCAGTTGAGTTCAAATGTGAACCCACTCCACGCCCCAATCATTCTTATCTACGAGATAATTTTTTTGAAAACGTCTGGAATTTGAAGACTAGGTGAATGTGGTCATAGTTTGTATCATCCTTGAACGCTTGAAATCTAATATTTGGATTTGTTATATTGTCTACATCATCCTTTAACGCCTGAAATCTAAATTTGTTCTAGACCAGCTTATATGTCATGTAATATATACCAACGTGTACTTTCAAGTACCCTTAATTTAATTACCACACAGGGTTGGGCTTCACTGCAATTTTTCTATACAAGTATCATGCATAGATTTCAAATTCTTGATAGTAAACTTTGGTGAATCTGATTATAGGGGATGTGCTTTCTTTTTAATATTTTAAAATTCAGATATTGGGAGGTAGCATCATGGTGATAACATTTAAATTCCCATATGATAGGATATAGAAAATATCTTCATTTAAACTTTTAGATTATCTCAATATATTGATTATTATTCTCCTATGCAGAATGGTCCATATTTGTGCTACAAGGAGGGCATAACTCTTCATTGTCCACGGGTAACTTCATTGCAGACCATTTTTGCAATTGTGAATTGTCAGTTCATTCATCTTTCTGTAATTTTCATATGATCACATATTTACAATCTCCAGTGCTGTTAGGTTAAGGAGCCTCCATCACTTTGGGAGAATCCTTACTCTTCAACAACCTCCTGGAAGGCCTGTGCCGAAAGACGAGAGGATCTAATTTCAGGTGCTGTTGCTGTAATAAAGATAACTTTATCGTGCCCATATTGCATTAGAATGGATTAGTGTGTGCATTAATTTTGTCCAGTTATCATAATTAACCTCAACATCTTGTTCAAAAAAGAAGCGAGGGAGGAGAAGAAACAAAAATAAAAAATAAAAAGAATACTATGACCCTATAACCATAGATCCTTCATGATATATCCTGATATTATATGCTATACGCCTATACCAAAAGTGAAGTATACAGTAAAGCTTCTTTAAAATGTACTACCTCCGCCCCAACAAAAGAGTCTTGCTTGACTAATAACAGTTGGTTTTATATACTCATATCTTTATATTTATTTTTCAAAAAACGAGGCACCTGGTACAACTTTTACAAATCATTAACACTACTCATATATTCATATTTATTTTTTAAACCACATAAACCATATTTTACTTGTGTGAGACTCTCTTTGTCAAATTACATGAAAAATTAGCACTCCTTTTAGGGGACAAGACTTGTTTGGTATCAGTTTTTGTGTGTGTGATAGAGGAAGTACTTCATTGTTAGCTCATTGCATTCTTTCACATAACTGCATATCTTCCTGATGCTTGCAGATCTTCTATCAGGAAATGATACAAATGGATATATATTTATTCATGCTGAGGGTGGTCTAAACCAGCAAAGAATTGCTGTGAGTTATTGCTTTTCAGTTTTCAGATTTCATTGTCTTATATTTGTATTCTTAAATGTGACTAGTTTTTGACTTTTTGTGGGTTTGGCTGTATCCTCTAATCTGCCATGTTGTTGAGTATAGATCTGCAATGCCGTTGCAGTGGCTAAAATAATGAACGTGACTCTTATATTACCGGTGTTAAAACAAGATCAGATATGGAAGGACCAAACGTGAGTGGCACTTGATGATGCAATATATTCACATTTTGTTAGAATGATTTATTGCTTCTAAGGTTGTCTCTTTTGCCAATAATAAAGAGATAGTGCATGTTACATTCTAAATTTTCTTTATTTTATGTGTACATTTCATGAATAACTTGATTTGTTTTCAATGTGAAGATCAAAGTTAGATGAATATAAAAACCATATAGTTAAGGTTAGTTGGGTGAAACAGGGCAGTACAACTGCAATTTTATGTGAAAATTGAAACAAATTCTCGTGAGCATCTATTTGAATGAAAATACTTTGTTGCAGAACTGACTGTCGAGTATGAAATGAAAATTTCAATTCTGACTGGTGCATGCAAAAAAGCGTAGGAGTACAGCAGAATGCGTTTTTTATCAATTAAGGCACATCGTTAAATCTGGTGTAAGATGAGAACAAATTAAAAGAAGATTGTTAAAATGCACTGAACTTGCTCAATGTAGCCTATGGACGCGTCATTAATAAAGAATGATGTCCTTGTAGTAGTAAGAGATGAGGCTGAAGATGAATATTCTAGCCCAGTGGCACATGTCAGGTTTAGGTATAATTAGAAAATATTATCTGTAATGGAATGGATGGACCACAACTACACGTCTACACTGGGATTAAGGAACATTTATATTGATTTTTTTTAATCTATGCTTTGGTCTGTAGTTTGTTGATGATTAGTCCTCCTAATGGCTGGTGCGTTTAAATTTGTTTGCAGGAAATTTGAAGACATATTTGATGTTGATCATTTTATTGACTATTTGAAGTATGATGTGCGAATTGTTCGCGATATACCTGAATGGTTTACTGACAAATCAGAGCTGTTCACAAGCATAAGGTTTGATGCTGGCCTTTATTTTTCTACATGCCAGGAGATTCTTGGATTGTTGGCATTTTGAAAAGAAATATCTTACTTCGTGTTTATCACTTTTGAACTCACTTCTTGAAAATCCCCATTTTAAAACACTAATTTCAGCTCAGTATGTTAATTTTAAGGTTTAGGAGGGGATGGGGGTGAATTTAAAGGTCACTCATATTACTAGTTATCTCTTGTATGATTCTCTTATATCAAACAAAGAACACTTTGGGCTATGGTTCTAGATTAATGGTTCTGAGCTTAAGTGCCATTTTGCTTACTAAATGTCAATCACATTGCTTCACACTGCTATCCAGGAAATAGTTTTCTAAAACTAATTTGCCTTGCATGTCAGACGAACAGTGAAGAACATTCCGAAATATGCTTCAGCAGAGTTTTATATAGATAACGTTTTGCCAAGAATAAAGGAGAAGAAGATAATGGCATTAAAACCTTTTGTTGATCGACTTGGGTAAGTAAGTGCTACAAATATATGACATCTCTATTGATAATAGCCGTACCTCTATGTGTCTATGGTGTAGAGTTCAATATGAACATTTATTCTATGTTGTTCAGGTATGATAATGTTCCGTCAGAGGTAAACAGGTTGAGGTGCAGAGTGAATTACCATGCTTTGAAATTTCTGCCCCATATTGAACAAATGGCCGATTTACTAGCTTCAAGGATGAGAAACCGAACTGGTAGTTCAAATCCCTTCATGTAAGCTTCCACATTCCACACCCTCATAGATGGCATTCTCTAATATATATTGTAATCAATGTTCTCTTATGTTTTACATATACTTTGGTCAATGAATGAAGTAAAAGTTGTACCTTAAACAGGGCACTTCATCTAAGGTTTGAAAAGGGGATGGTGGGCTTATCGTTCTGCGATTTTGTGGGGACCCGGTTAGAAAAGTCACTAATGGCTGCTTACAGAAAAAAAGAATGGCCACGGAGGTTCAAGGTTACAGAGATTAATGATTGTGATCATATTTATTTCATAATATCCAAGCAATCAGTAATTCAGAATTTCTTATTAACCTGTGTTTTTCAATATACAGGATGGTTCACATTTGTGGGCATTGGCTCTGCAGAAGCGGAAGGAAGGACGGTGCCCTCTTGAGCCTGCTGAAGTTGCAGTGTTGCTTAGGGCAATGGGTTATCCTAAAGAAACTCAAATATATGTTGCTTCTGGGCAAGTTTATGGTGGGCAAAACCGCATGGCGCCACTTAGGAACATGTTCCCTAATCTTGTATGTCCTGTTTTCTTTTTAAAAGCCCAATATTCCTAAATCCTAATTACTCATTCAATTTTGCAACCTAAAGTTTCGTCATTAGAATTGAACTTTATTGAAGGCATCTTTACACCTTTATTGTTTTTGTCAGAGGCTATGTTATGTTCGTCTGGGATGATTCATTTTTTTTTAACTCTGTTATTCTTCAGTTGTCATGGTCGTTAATTGTATATACCAGGTTACAAAAGAGGAATTGGCTAGGAAGGAGGAATTGGATGAATTCCGGAAGCATGTAACGAGTTTGGCGGCCCTTGACTTTCTTGTTTGTTTGAAATCCGACGTTTTTGTAATGACGCATGGAGGAAACTTTGCCAAACTGATAATAGGGTACAGAAGGTACATGGGTCACCGCCAAAAATCCATAAAACCAGACAAGGGTTTAATGTCCAAATCCTTAGGGGATCCTTACATGGGATGGGCAAGCTTTAAAGACGATGTTGTCATTACTCACCAGACAAGGACTGGATTGCCAGAAGAGACATTCCCAAACTATGATATCTGGGAGAATCCTTTAACTCCTTGCATGTGCAGAGCCTGACTCACATTAAGTTAGTTGGTGAAGGTGGATCTCTAACTCTCTTTTGGAAGAATATTCTTTTTCCGGAGAACATTTTGCTTTGACCGATCGGCAGTTTGTGTAGCATTAGCATAATACTCAAAAGGTTGCGATGAGAGAGAGCGAGAGCAGAATCAAGATGGACGTGGTAACTTGCATATTGAGTGGCCCGTAATTTTTCACCTAATGTCGTGATTCCCTTCACACGGGGAATTGCAGTTTTGTATGCTGGATATTAGATTATTCTCAACTGCTTCAAGAAAATGTGTAAATTACAGCTATACTGAGCATCTGGTGTATTTTCTTCATTAGAATTATTATAACTTGATATCAATATATTTGTCTGTTGGTAAAGGTTGATCATTTGTAGTTTTTTCATTTTACTGTGCACGTGTATATGTCCTCAATAAGTAGGAGTTAGAGTGGTAGCCTAACACGCATGAGCAGAGTTGAGCTCTGTTTGGATTGACTGCCAAGGATTTATACTTTCAAAACTTTGTTTATTAAACAGGCGAGTGTTGTAGAGCATAAAATTTGTGATCATATTGTCATGAACAAGTTTAACTTTAATGAGCTTGTTTTTGTGGAGCCAACATGCTCTTAACAAGCAATCAATCAAACAAATAAATGTCGTTTTCAAGACATAAGGTCACAAGTTTTCAAGTCAGAGGTCACGGAAATAATAAAATGGCATCTCGCAACATGCTCTCTAAAACAAATTTTTATTTTTATTTTTTATCACCTCAAAATCATCACCTTTCACAAAAGTCTAGACACTTTTATATACTCGGTACATTATAGGAGTGTTTGGGGTTGATTAAAAAAAGCACTTTTCAGCTTTTGGCTTAAAAAAAGTTGAAAAGAGTGTTTTCAAATGATAGCTTCTGCTTAAATTAATCACTTAAAAGCTAAAAGCTGGAAGCAGATAGAAGAGTGCTTTAAACTGCTTCTCACTTTTTCTATTACACAAAAAGTACTTATTTTACCAAACACTATCAACTTTTACTTTTTCAGAATCACTTTTTTCTCAAACACTACCAACTTTTACTATTAATCACTTTTCCCAAAATCACTTTAAAAAATTGATGGACAAACTCATATATCAAAAGTGGAATCAACTCTCCCCGTATATATAGACCAAGAAAGCATAACTTCATTATTATTGACACGGAACAAACATTTCAAGTGAAGTGTGCTCAAAATCAAACACATGTCCTTCAAAAAATCAAACACCACATGTAGCAATGTAGGCCATATTTTCTTCATAGAAACGGTCCACACCATCCCTAAAATATATACAGAAAATATGTATATACATACAAGTATTAGCCATCAAGCAAAAGATAAGATGACAAGAAGACTATCTCCCTGTAATTCAGGGTCTTATATATCATTCACACGTATACAAAGACACGATCCTCTGGGATTTAATGATAAAGCTGAGAGTTGCATAGCCTCATAGTTGGGATAGCAATCAAAGGAGTCCTTTTCTTGGTGACAAGGCCAAACACATCTACCAAATCGAGCTTTTCACCTTGAGGAAGATGCCAGTTGAATGAATGCAACAATGAGCCCAAAATGTACAGCAACATTTTCTCAGCCAAGGGAATGCCGGCACAGATTCTCCTTCCTGATCCAAATGGAATAAACCGGAAATCATTACCAGTGTAATCTAAACCTGAACTCGGACCAAGAAATCTCTCAGGCTTGAACTGAAGCGGATTGTCCCAAAAAATAGGGTCTCTATGTATTGCATATGTATTCAGAAAAACCTTAGAGCCCTTAGGGATTGTGTATCCGCCCACTTGTGAAGTTTCCCTTGGGGACCTGGGGACAAGGAGTGGCAATGCAGGGTATAAACGTAAAGTCTCTTTCACAACAGCATCCAAATATGTGAGTTTTGGTAAATGGAACTCTTCAACAGTGCTGTTCATTCCTACTACATGCTCTAATTCATTCTGGACCTTTTTCATTGCCTCTGGATTATCAAGCAGCACTGCCATAACCCACTCCACCATTGTAGCTGTTGTATCCGTCCCGCCTATCACAATATCCTTAAAAGATGTATAAGATCAGGCTCAAAGTCAGGAAATGAGTTTCAAAATAGAATTCAGATTGAGTTTTAGGATATATAACTGTACATCTTAACATCATTACCATCGTAATCCCAATGTAATTGTATAATTACAATTACAAAACCAGCATCATGAAATTACTTGGTATAATGTGATCCACACAAAACAGAAGGAAGAAATTGATCATTTCGTAACAACAACAATCTTTTCACAAAAAAGGTTTAGGGTGATCCAAAATACTCCCTCTGTCCCACAAATATGTCATATATTAAAAGTTATTGTTGGTCACATAAACAATCACATTTCATCAATCGGAACTAGTTTGCAATTTTTTATGACTTCTGAGAGTATTAACAAATTAATACTCCCTACTTCATAAGAAAATGAAAATAAATGATGATAAGGATGGCCTCAGCGTTCAATAAAACATTAGAACAGCATTTTAGACATAATTAAATCTGTTAAAGCGAACCCACATTGACCCCTTAATCACTCCCACACTATAACGTGTTTTTAATTCTTGTCGAATAAGATCACATATCTACTTCCATCTACCTATCATTTAATATTTTAATATTACTCAGTTTGATAAATCACTTACTATAATCACATAATTATTAACTCGAAAAATACTATCTGTCACATTTTGCAGGATATATTTTTCTGTGCGTTATCTAAAAATATGAACACTTATCTGTCACATTTTGCAGGATATATTTTTCTATGCAGATTATCGAAAAATATGAACACTTTTCTAAGTTAAGTTGAACTTCAATAACTTTTTCCTTTCATACTTTATCTTTCTATAAATCATTTCACTTTTTTTTTGTTTACTTATGGACTTATACTGCTTTTATTTGTCTCCCTTTTTCTCTATTTTTATATTTAACTATGATATTATGTCGATTAATGTTGCCCACTTGCCCCATGTTGTGCAGACACACATTCAGGGGTACAAGGACATTGAAAAATGGACAGGGCAAAACAGATTCATGGGTATATTAATGATGTATATAAAGCAATATTTTCCCTGATTATTTATTTTCAGAAGTAATACATAATAAAAAATTAGAATAACAAGTTCATTATTCTAGCTTATTACACAAATTTGACAGAGAACAATAGCTTTGTAACAAATAATGAAATATTTAACAAATAGGAACCTCATAATTCAATAATCAATGTTCACTACATCCAAACTAAAACTATACTAAGTAAAACCATTTAAAAGATTATTAATAGATTCATTTTAATTCAAGATAATAGATTAAAACTCCGATTCATCTACCAAAAAGGTTTGCAATTTGCAAACTCAAGTGTTGATATATCTTTACTAAGATGATCTCTACCAAATCCTACATTTTCTCTTCTCATCATAATATAGAGAAGCGTTACTTGATAGAAAACGTAGATAATTATAGATGAAGATTAAACTACGCGTAGGTATGCTTTTTTTTTGTGTGGGCACTAGTATGTTATTTAAGATAAATTGTGACATGGAATAGAAATGCATTGCTAAGCAATTTTAAATGTGTCTTGTAAACACAGTTAGGAAATATGAAACAGTGACCCATGGAATCAATACGGCTTGGATATTTTGTTTGGTAAAAAAAACTTAATCCCTTATCATTCGTTATTGGTGTCAAGTCTATCTGGAACTGGAGGGAGTACTACTTAAAGGTCTATTCGTACAAAAGATTCTTATAAATGCAAGCCCCACTGAAAAACACACCTGCAAGATGGCCTTGATTGCATTCAAATCCAATGCTTTGCCAGCTTCAGAATCCTTTAGCTCTAAGATTATCTGCAGAAAATCCTTGTTTTCACCATCCTTACTCACACTAGTCTGAGATTTCTCAGAAACAATTCTTTCACCTTCTTTAATGATGGGTTCAAGAATATTTCCTATAACCTTAAGAATATTCCCCATCTTTGCCTGTATGCCCTGTAGATCAAATCTAGCAAGCCATGGGAAAAAATCAGAGATATTAGGCTCACCGATTGTAGCAACATACTTCCCCATCACCTCCCTAAACTCTTCTCCAACCTTCTCGCGCTTTTCTTCATCAGGTCCCAATGTACTCCCCAGAATCATGCTCATCACTACATTTATTTCAGTCAAAGAGGCCAATTCCCCAATATCCACACCCTGACCCGTTTTCGATTTCAGGCTCCTGATCACTTTTCTAACCTCAGCTCTTCGGTGCTCGTGGCAAGCTCTAATGTTGCTGCTACTCAGCATCTCCCGGACAAATAGCTTCCGGACTTGACGCCAATAATCGCCGAGGGGCGCAAAGGCGATGTCACAGCCGCCGTAAGTAGCGATCAGCGCTGCTACCGATGGATCGCGGTTAGCGAAGAGTGCATCTTGATCGCGAACGATCTCTTTCATCAGGGACGGCGAGCTCACCACCACATAAAGCTGACTTCCTACTTGAAGCTTGAAGATCGGGCCGTACTTGTGGGCGAGATGTGTGAACTGGTGGTGAAGGTTTGGGCGGAGAAACGGCAGGTATCCGACCACCGGAAAGCCGAGCGGTCCCGGCGGTAACGGATTAACTGGCTTGAATGGGTTTCCATAATAATGCCGCCACAGGGTGAAAATGAATAGCGCTGTGAATATGAGCAGCGCAAAAGTTTCAATGTCAGTGCCAATAATTTGGGCTGCAGAAGCCATTGTTGTGTGGCATAGGATCTAGCGTCTCTCCAGAGCTTATAGTCATCTCTTATATCCATTCTCTTCGTCTTTTGCTCGCCGCCGATTGCTAATTTTGGACGCCAACTTGTTCGGACTAGACTTTTTGTCACTGGTGGGCTGGTGCGTCGTCGTCCACTCGTCGTTTTTCCTCTTCCTTTTTGTCTGCCTTTTTTCTTTCTTTTGTGCAAGCCACTAAGTAGTCTCTAAAAGCTGGTTGTATTGGTTATGGTCTGGCAATAGCCGTTAGCTGTTAGCTGGTTATGACAGCTGGTTGACAATAGCTGGTTGTGTCATCTGTTTCCGTTGGCTGGTTATATTAACTTGTTGTTAATAAATGTTTGGTAAATTAGCTGTTTAAGAATAACTGTTTGCATGCAAAAGGACATATAAGGACATTATTATATTTTATTTTATTACTTGCTATGGCCTATAAAAAATAATATTACTTGCATTTATTTACAGAGTATAAGTATTCAAATTTTAGAAATTGATAAATGAAATTGCTTGAAAATAAAATAAATTAAAATAACATTTTAATTTATTTGAATAATATGAATTAAAAAACTCAACTTTATATGCGATTTAAAAAACTAAATAAGTGCGCT